TGGGCTAGAGAGAAGCCACCAAACTCTGACCTGGGGGCCAGGAGAAACGCCCAGGCGGGATGCGGGAGCCAGGCGGGATGCGGGAGCCAGGCGGGATGCGGGAGCCAGCGGTGTTGGATGGGGAGGCCGGAGCTGCCGTCGCTGCACAAATGGGCAGTGATGTTTCCTGGCTCTGCTCTCTGCTGCGTTCAAACCACGTCATGAACAGAGAGCAAAACTCCCCCAAACGGGATTTCCCGGGCTGCAAAGTTCGGCGAGGCTCGTGCCTTTTATAACCATTCCTACACCGCTCCTGCTGAGTCTTTCCATGGAATCTGCCCCAAAGTTTCGATCACGGTGTGGGGCGGCTTCGGCCCCACGGGGAGGCGGCCCCGATCCGGCCCGTGCCCCTCTATAAACCCCATTCCCCCCTTTTCCCGCACTGCCGCTCCCCCTACCTCAAAACAGCCCAGAGGCACCTGCCCCTGCAGCGGGGTCCCTCCTATCTCGAAAAAACAGAACAAAGTTAAAAAACCCTACGTAATTGCCACAAATGGCCCCAAAAAGCGAAGCGGCCCCCGGGAAGATGTTTATGAGGGCTTTAACACACGCATCGCCGGCGGGCATCTGTCACGCTCGGAGGCTGTTGGCGTTTGCACTTCAGGCAGGTAAATGCAATCCAAATCGTCAGCGGTTTCCACCACCTGCTCTTTCTCCTCTTTTTTTCTTGGCGGATTTTACACCACCCCCTTTCACTCCACAGAGCTAAAAAGGAAAATCCCTGGCTGCCCCATGGCCTTCCACAGCTCCAGCCCTGTGCTTTCTCCTCTCCTCTTTACTTTGCACCAGATTCTCCCTCCTCCTCCCCCTGACAGTTCAGAGGGAAGAGATTTCTCCCACTGGCACCACGCTTCTCACTGTGTCCCATTTTTCCCAGCTGCCTGCCTGCGCAGCTGGACCTGCCTTGGGGCTGGTTAATGTTGGAACAAATTATTGTAGAGATTATTGGGATTGACTGGGTGTGGCCGGGTGCCCGGTGCCACCAAAATCGCTCTGTCACTGCCGTCCTGAGGCTGGGCAGGGAACAGAACACAAGGAGAGGCTCCAGGGTCAGGGTAAGGACAGGGAGAGGTCACTCATGGGCACAGCACAACTGACTTGGGGAAATTAATTGAATTTGGGGATAAGGTGGTGGTGTTGTTGTTGTTTGCATGTTTGGGTTTTTCCAGTCAGGCAATTTCTTATCCCATCTTCTCCTTGAAAGATCAAACAGTGAGGTGCAGAGAGGGGAGACAAACAGGGACAAACAAAAGAAAAGGCCACGCACTCTCCCATGCCATGGGAATGGCTCAGCCGGAGAATGGAGAGTTTGGAAGTCTTGGCTGGGGACTGATTTCTCTGTCTGGGGCGAAATGTTTCTCAGGAATGGCAGAAATACCTCGAGATGTATTGACTGTGGTGCACTCCAGAGGGTGGGAGCTGATCCCCAGCACTTTTGGGGATGGCAGAGAGAGCGAGCGGCCACGCGTGGTGCGGAGAGCGGGCGCCCCTTTCCCGGGACGGGGCTTCACTGTCACCTCGCTGTCCCCTCGCTGCCCTCGCTGTCCCCTCACTGTCGCCGTCCCTGCAACTGCTGGGAGTGGTACTGAGGTCCTGCCTAGGTCCCGCGCTGCCCATGGGACCCGCCTGACTCCGCTGCCCCCTGGGGTGGGTCGGTGCGGGGACAGGTCGCTGTCCCGGGGTCCCCAAAGGAGAGGTGCCCCCGTCCCGTCACGATTGTAATTTCACCAAAGCGGAAATCTGGGCTCGATGGGGAGAAAGGGCTGGGAATTATTTCTTTTCCCATACCTGTGCCTGAAAGCCCCACAATTTCAAAGGTATAATATTGTGGAGGGAGGGGGCCATCTTTTCCGTTCCAGGAAGGTTGCTGCCTTCCTTGGCAGACACTTCTCTTTTAAACCAGGACAACTGCCAAGCAAATCACAGCAGAAGGAAAAGTAAAACTAATCCTACCAAAAACACCTTCCTCTCACCTCTGCCTGCTTCCCAGGCTTTGCTTTCTCCCAGATTCCCTCCCTTCTCCCCAGCCAGAGGCGCAGGGGATGGGGTCACAGCCTGGTACTGTCACAGCCTCCCCTCAGGGACAGGAATCCTCGTCCTGCTCCAGCCTGGGGTCCCTCCCACGGGACACATCCCTCGGGAACGGGCTGCTCCAGCGGGATCCCCCCGGGCTCACAGGTGCCGCCAGGAGCCCCTTCCATGGCTCTGCAGGGGCTTCCCAGGGGCTCAGGGGAAGATCTGAGAGAGGCTGAAAAGAGAGAAGATCTGGAGAGGCTTGGGGTCTCTCTCAGTCATCCCCTGCTCCAGGCTGGGCTCTTGTGGGGCTGCAGGTGGGTCCCTGCTCCATCCCGGCTTCAGCCACAGCTCCCAGCGCCTCCAGCTCCAGGTGACCCCAAGCTCCCCGTGGTCCAGGGCAGCAGCAGTTCCTCGGCCTCCTGCCTGGGCCATTCTGGGGTGTGTAAATCTCAGCATTTCCTGGGAGAGCAGCACACTGCAAGGCCTGGGGCAATTTATCCCGTGTACCCAATCTGCACCTCACCCAGCTGATTCTCCCATCACTCCTCATCTTTGAGCGTGGCCTGGTGAGAATGGAGGGGAGGAACAGTCCTGGGCAGTCCCACACCTTCTCCCTCGGGGCTGCCCCAGGGCTCAGCCCCTCATTGCTTTGATTTCCCCCAAAAGGGAAAACCACCCCAGACCCCTTCAGCTGAGCAGAGGATGGGACAGGGTTTAGCAGAACACTTCCAATATTGTTTTTCCTGAGTCTGGAAAGAACCAGCCAAACTGAACTGATGTGGGACCTCCCAGCAGCGCCTCTCTGCCGTCCCAGCTGCAGCCCTCAGCTCCAGGCTCAAGGGCTGACTGGGAGCTCTGGGAAGGGGCCCCGGCTCGGGCTGCAGCCCCCGGGGCAGCCCCACGGCAGCTCCGAGGCTCCTCCAGCTGGGATGGAATGTGGCAGGGGGAGCAGGGGAAGGGACGGGGCTGCCGGCGCCAGGGGAACGCGAGGGACACCAGGGGCACTTCACAAGCATTCAATGCAAAAGATAAAATCATAAGGAAGGCAAAAGGAACGGCAACAGCGTCACCGTAGCACAGGGCCACAGGAGGACGTGTCCCACTGGAGTGCACTGACGCTGGCCGGATGCTGGGCACCCCCCAAAGCCGCTCTCTCACTGCCCTCCACAGCCAGACAGAGGAGACAAAATTTAACCTGGGGTTCAGGAGTTGAGATAAGGACCGGGAGAGATCCCTCATGAAACACCATCATGGGCAAAACAGGCTCAAAACTGGAGATATTAATTGAATTTATTGCTAACAAACTGGGGACTAGTAGAAGTAGTAGACTAGTAGAAGTAGAAAAAAAACCCTCCAAAACATCTTCCCCCATCCCTCCCTCCTTCCAGCTCTACCTCCTCCTACTCTGACAGTCCAGGGAGACAGGGAATGGGGGCGTGCTCAGTTCATGCCCGGGGCTTCTCCCTCTGCTCAGGGACAGAAATCATTTCTCAGTTCAGTACTGGAGTCCCTCCCATAGGAAAGTTCCCGAGGAACTTCTCCAAGCTGAGTCCCTCCCACGGGGCACAGCCCCCTCCAAGTGCTGCAGCGTGGGTCACTGTGCCCCAGGGTCAGTCCTGCCAGGACCATCCAAACGGATGTTTCTGCCTCTGCATTCCTCCAGGTGCCCATGAGGAGACAGGAAAATGTGGAGCATCTCCAGCCAGGACCATGGATCACCAGGGCTCTGCCCAACAGGGGTCACCGGAGATCATCCAACGTGGATCCTCCCATGGGGGATGGAGCTGGAGCAGCCCACGAAGCTCTTCCCACACTTGGGGCACTCGAAGGGCTTCCCTCAGTGATGCCTCCGTTGGTGTTCTGTCAAGTAAGAGCTCTTGGTGAAGCTCTTCCCACACTCCCCACACTCGTAGGGCCTCTCCCCGGTGTGGATGCGCTGGTGGGTGTTGAGGGAGGAGTTGCGTTTGAAGCCCTTCCCGCAGTCCGGGCAGCAGAAGGGCTTCCCCTCGGTGTGTATTGGCTGATGATGGAGGAGATGGGCACGGAGCCGAAACCTCTTCCAACACCCAGGACACTCGTAGGGCCTCTCCCCGGTGTGGATGCTCTGGTGGCGGCTGAGGTAGGACAGGAGCTTGAACCTCTTCCCACAGTCCTCACACTGGTAGGGCCGTTCCTCAGAGTGCAGGCGCTGGTGGTTGAGGAGGTTGGAGTAGTCACTGAAGCTCTTCCGACATTTTCTACATGTGTAGGGCCGTTCCCCTGTGTGAATTATCCGGTGGCGAATCAGACAAAAGCTATCGCTGAAGCTCTTCTCGCATTCCAAGCATTTATAGGGCCGTTCCCCAGTATGGATCTTCTGGTGGCTGCGCAGGCTGGACTTGTAGCTGAAGCTCTTCTTACATTCCAAACACTCATAAAGTCGTTCCCCAGTGTGAGTTCTCTGGTGGTGACTCAGGGCAAACCTCCCACTGAATCTTTTCCCACACTCCAAGCACTCATGGGGCCTTTCCCCACTATGGATCCTCTGGTGCTTGGTCAGACTGGAGCTCCAGCTGAAGCTCTGCCCACACTCCAAGCACTCATAGGGCTTTTCCCCACTGTGGATCACCTGGTGCTGCCTCAGGCTGGAGCTACCCCTGAAGCTCTTCCCACATTCCCCACACTTGTAGGGCCATCCCCCCGTATGGATCACCTGGTGTTTCTTCAGGCAGGAGTTGTAGCTGTAGCTCTTCCCACATTCCCAGCACTTGTGTGGCTTCTCCCCATCATGAGGCTTCTCCATCATCTCTGAGCTCTGGCTGCATCTCCGGCCGCCTTCCTGGCTCAGGGGGGCTCTTTCCTCCTCACAACACCCGGGACTGGGTTTGCAGCCCCTCCTCGTGCGGGATCTCCAGGGCTTTTCCTCCTCCTCCATCTGGCCACAGCTTGGGAATAAAAAAATCCTGGTTTGAGAGGAAAAACAAGGGTGAGTGCCTTGGGATGGGGGTTTCTACTGCCCAAGAACATCTCAGGAAGTCACTGGGTGTTTTGTGTTCATATAAGTCTTCAAACTACCAAGATTCAGCCCAAAAACCCCT